GGCATGGCGCTGCCAAACGTCGCCCGTCTTGTCAGTTTAAGAGGTGGACAAAAAGTATTTATACTGTAGTCTTCGTCATCAAAATGGGAATTGCCCTTCTTTTTTCCGTCGTCATATATGAAACCGATAGTTTTTATCGAAGAAATAACTTGGGTATTAAACGATTTCTTCTGCTGCATTTTTTTCAGTTTGACTTTTATAAACTGATAACATTAAATTACTCCGTTGAACTACACAGACGTGTTTCTAGCCTCCTTTTCCGTTGTAATCACTTCCTCAGATTCTCGTATCGAATCATTACTTTTTATCCCGTTCAAAGTAGATCAAATACTAGATGATTATATGACGAAATGCGAGCAATTCAGCCCTAGAATGCAGCCGTAACATCCTAACTACTTGCTACTGTATGATTTGGCTGGAGGATGCGTGTTCTTTAAATCAGAGATTATTGAGTACGTCCCTGTGACAAGGCAACAAGAATGGTGTTAGGTTTGGGGGAATCTTGCACATCGTTGGCAAAAAATATGGCTGCTTCTGCCTTACACACTTCAACCTACAGTGAAAGTATACGTTAGACAACTTACAATTTTTTTCCCCATTAGGCCTACTCTGGGACCTAAACTCGCCTTAACTCGCCCTAACTCGCCGCTTGCGATTATGTGCAAATTTCCTTATCTCGCCTTAACTCGCCTAAACTTGCCTACTCTCGCCACTGCCAAGTGGATACCAATTTCAATGGGCGTGATCCATTTAACCAGACTTCAGACTGGTCCGACTGGAAGTGGTCCACCTGAAAGGTGGACCAGTTTTTTCGAAACTTTTCCAGTTGGACCGAACCGATCCATTGAGTTTTGTACCCAAATTTCCGGAAATTTTGGTTGAATGGATTGTGCCCAATACATCATCCCACTCTCAGGATAATTTCACAATTAATCCACAAAGAGAAGACACCAAAAAAGAGGGATTTCAAAAATTATAAACAATAGGGATTTGTAAGTCCCATCCTTCTGGAATTTCCAATAGCCTCTGTGGTAAGGGTGTTTCACCACTAAGATTTGATGAGGGCTTGCTTAGTACTTAATAGACAGCCAATGGAACTACCAGGAAAACAACCTGAACATGCACAAACTTGTTACCTAACAAAAAGGCTACAATGCAAAGCATGGCAGAAATTCCAGAGGTATGTCACAGGGCCTAGAGAAACCCACACTGATTGCTATTATTTTGGGCCACAAATTAAGTGACATCAAGTAAAAAATGAAACAATAAATTTACTTATACTTCTAAGCGAGACAAAACAATACAAAACTGTAATAACAGAATATATATATATTTTTTCTTTTAAGCTAGCTAGCTAATGATTTACAGTAAAGTTTGATGTTGTGGAAAATTCTAAAATTAAGCTACATTACTTTCCAAATGTATAATGTATGCAAGCTGTTTATGGTAATGAAAAGTAGCAGCATAATTATCATCTTATAATCTGATGAAACTTAATGAGAATTCTAGCTGACAATGAAAGTCTGGGATGTAGCCAGAATCCTTCAAATACTCCACATACTGATGGCAGTCCATATTTCTTGATTATAAAGTTACCTGGTACTAGAGGATCTGTGTATTGCTTTCACATGACATCCTGTTTGGCTTACATTGTAGTCAAGCTGGCGACCATGAGCCATGAATCATAAAGACTTGTTACATTTAGCCCGTTTTTGCAGTGATAGTCAACTCCGTTCGCCATTTTTAAAATTACCCAGAAGATACTGGTAACTCTCCCAGGGCCCAGTCTACTGGCAGGTTTTAGGTGGGAAGCTTCAACGTGGCGTACATGACGTCAAAACACATTACAACACGTCTGAGGCGGTGGCCATGTTTGAAGCAGGGAAGATTCATCACAAATGCGGAGAGTATTTCTGTTCATCAACTTATATGAGATATAGCTCTCGGCACAACTGTGAACACTTTTTCTCCAGCAGGATTGTCCAAGTTTAAGGAGGGAGTTTTTTAAAATACGGGAACTGCTGTCTTCGTGAAAAGGCATCAATCTCCATTTGCAAGAGATTAAAATGGCATGGATTTATTCCGAGGAAACGAAAAGGCAATTGGTGTTTTCGTTTCTGGCAGTGAAACCAAACAGTTGGGCTGGATTCCAAAGGAAACCATTAGTGAAATGGAAAGAATGGGCCAAATGGGAGACTTAAAGATAAGTCTTATAACTTTCAAGGAGAAAGAATTTCATGTCATTTTAGTAAAATTGATTGTGTCATACAAATGTCCACATCTGAGCTTTAATTCGTAAGCTTCTCCGTTTTTTTATACTAGTTCTTTGAAGAACATTGACTCAGACTGTAAAAAACATTATTCTTTTATAATTCTGGAGTTAATGATAACAATTCATGCCATCATGTGATACCTATTATGTTAACCCACAGTCTAATTAAAACATAGTGTTATTGAATTAAAAAAATAAGTAAAATTAAATATCCCATCTGTGTTTGTACTACAATTACATTTTCTCATCTATTCATGATTGTTTTGTGTACATTAGTTTCTTTTTTCACTAATTTATTATTCTGCCTTCTGTCAAATATTTGCTATCATAAATAATATATGATGATGACTACTTTTATTCGTAATAATAGTATTATACAGCCACCAAATGGTATAATTTGGTATCTGAATGCTATATAATAATTAATAAAAACCAGGCCTTGGTTATTCAAAGGCTGGATAGTGCTATACAACGGATCAATCTCTATCCAGTGGATAGTGCAATTAGTTTTCCAAGTACTTATCCGCTGTATAGTGATTTATCATTTTGTTGAATAGCGCGATCCAATGCTTGAACAACCAGGGCAAGGACTCCATACTCCACTCACCCAATTAGGAAAAAATGTTCAATTACCGGTACTAACTTTAAATAACATTTGGCTTCAGTCAACTTTGGAGCTCATCTAAAATTTTTTGTTGAATTTTTTTTTTGTAATTGGGCAACATGGAGACTGTTACGTATATATACATAAGACATACAAAGATTGCAAGGCACAAGGCATCTTTATATGTGTGTTACTAAAGCATGATATATGTGTTAACCCTTATCACCTCAACATTAGGTTGACCATTTTCCCTTAACTCGCCTTGACTTGCCTTATCTCGCCTTAACTCGCAACTGATAGGTGAGCTCAATTTTTCCTTATCTCGCCTTAACTCGCCAAAACTCGCATTAGCTCGCACAATCTCGCGGCGAGTTAAGGTCCCAGAGTAGGCCTCCCATTTGAATAATATGTGCGGTTCATTTTGGTAACTATTACCAAGTTGAAAGGTGGTTGTGCGACTCGGCCCTCAGGTTTCAGCCCTTGATTACAACCGTAACACTTGGACACTTGCGGGGGGTAAAACTCTAGAAGGTAACAATAGAATACTCCATCTGGTGGTGAAGGAAAACCCGGCTTGGGAGAGGGCGAAAACCGAGTGGAAGGGGCTTCTTTGTTCGCTACAAATGGCAGTTCTCCATAAGACGTCTGCTGTGGAAACCACACTGAAAAACTGGTAGCTGGCTGTTGACATTCGTAAAGGTTAGCAGACATAATGTCTGTAGGAAGGTTAGGGTACGCATAGGCGATGCGAGGGCAAACAGACAGTTGCTGCTTCTGCTGTGGCAACTGATTATCGCCGAAAGTTGAAGTTCCAAAAGTAAAAGAATCCAACACGCGCTGCGATGAGGTAGATGGTTGCTGTTGCTGATGCTGTTGACTGAAAAATGATGAAGTTTGAGCTGGAAAGCCATCAAACCCAAGCTGGGACAAGGTAGATGATTGCTGTTGTTGCTGCTCATTGGCAAAGGATGTGGCGCCAGTACAGTACCCATCGTAGGCAAGTTGTGCCGAGGTAGATGATTGCTGTTCGTACTGTTGTTGACTAACAGTGTGTGTAGTCCCCGCAGCAACACGATTGAAGGCAAGATGTGATGATTTAGAGGGTTTCTGTTGCTGCTTTTGTTGATTAACAATATGTCTAGTGCCAGCAGAAACACAACCAAAGGCAATCTGTGACGATGTAGAGGGTTGCTGTTGCTGCTGTTGTTCACGGCTGAAAGATGCGCTTCGGACATGGAAACCCGAGCAGGAAAGCGGTGGTGAGGTAGCCACTTGTTGGTCCTGCTGGTTTTCACTGAACCATAACGATCCGATAGGAAAGCCAGTGTACGTGACAAATTTAGAGCTGGAGGTATGCGTTTCCTGTTGGTTTTCAGCAGACCTTGTGGTGTTCATTGGAAAACTGGTATGCGTCAGCTGACTATCGCCGGCATTGTCCTCAGAGGCTGCATCTGGTATATTTTCTTTGACGCCTTGTTCCACATTTGATGAGTTGGACGAAAAATTGGCGGGGCGGGAAAATGTTGTGTCCAGGACAGGCTGTTTGTCGGATGCACGAGCACGGCCTCTGACAGGTTTGCCCCCTTTACGCCCAGCACCTTTCCGCCCACTGAACTTTAGTGAGAGCTGATGAAGGTTTGGTAGGGCAGTGTTTTTCTCTAAGAAGTCGATGTACTCCTTCAGGACTTTATTTGACTCTGCTGTTGCCACTGTATGACAACACAACCCTAAATACGAATATTGAGGGCAAACAGGGTCGCACTCAAAAACGTAACATGTTGCACTCTGTTTAGTTGGTCGTCTTGTTACTAGGAGGGGCTTGCTAGGCTGCTTGGAGTTGAACACCTGTTTCGCAAATGAGCAGCTTGATCCAGCAACTGGCAGAACGTACCCTGGGGATGCCACTAGCTCTCTGGCCTCCCTCCACAACTTTTTCAAGGTAAAAGAAGATATGTGTGGTATTTGATCGTAGCCAGTAGATAAGAGTGGCAGCGTGGAGCTCGCTTGAGGCAAGATGAGCATTGCAAGAGTCCTGTCCTCTGATAATTCAATCTTCATTACAACCTTCATGTGGGCTTCCCTCTGTTGTGAGGTCATTTTGAACCAATTTGGTCTCTCCAGGAACCGAAATCCCGGACGAAGTTCCCACTCTCCAGTTCTTGCCACTGCTTTGCGTAGCAGATCTTTGTGCCGCTCCCCGATACATGACACCTTCTTGATAAACTCGGGCAATTCACTTTCTTGATATTGCACTTGGCCTTTGATCACCTCATTCATGCTTTCACTTTTGTTTTGATAGTATGGCTCTGGAGGCGAACCCAATCCCACCTCCGTTCGCAGAGCTGGAAGCATGTGCTCTTTCATTTCTTTGGCCTTGTTTTTGCAAAACCACTGATGGAAGGAGGGCACTTTGAGCGGGTTCGCATTAACTTCTAAATTGTTCCACGTCTCCTGTTAGGAGCGAAAAGGAATAGAAAGCTTAGCAATACCAGTCAGCACGCAACATTAATTAACTGATCGACGGATTCTCTATGAATCAAGACTCCCTTGCTTTAAAGTGTAGTGGGAAATAAAATACAAGATTACACTATTCAATTTTTCCCGGCGGATACAAACTCGCCCTTTCAAAAACAGTTGCGCGGGATTAGGGTAGGTAGTTGGACCTTTGGGTCTTTGCTCTGTTTCAGTTGCAATGTTGTTAACTTTTTTAACCGTCAGTACTTCGCCCATTTTTCTCCTGGCCTCTTCAACATAACAGATCCTGTGTCAATGATGACGTTATGTAACGTCAGTCTTTGCGTGTAGCCTAAAGTTAGGATCCATCATCTCGGATTTTATCAAACTGCTGATAAATGTTTCAATCGAACTTAAACCAAGTGAAATATGTTAAGGCTTGTTAAAGTGGGCAAAAATGTCAAGCGCCAGAAAGAATACCCTTTAAGACAAAATGCGTAATAACTAGGAATATTTCCAGGAATAATTTAACAGCTACTGAAAATCTTGACCTTCTCCTACTCCCCCCTCCCCCAACACACAAAAAAAAAAAAAATCTTCAAGAGGGTGGAAGAGCATTCTCTACTTGCTCACTGGAAGGTTAAAGTCTTGCTCATACCCTAAAGTTCGTATTAATATATTGTCTGTTCTCATGTCTGACTGAGTGATAATTCGTTATTCTATCAGCATTGTCTTGGGACAGTAAAGGAGAACGGTGTGGCTAAAAGAGAAGAAAAACATGAAACGAGAATAGTGTCCATCTACTGTTTGAATACGTATGGTACCTTTAAGTGGTAATTTACCTCAAGCGACAAAAGCTTTGCATCGAACACCTCTTCGCTATCTGAGTCCACCAGCCCCTCATGGTGAGTGCTTCCGATGTTGTAACCAAATATGTCCCCAATGAACGCACTCTGGAACTGTTTGGGAACGCCAAGAGTAGTGAGCTTGTCTCCACAGTTTCTTTTAAAGTGTCCGAAGCATCTGAGGAGCCTTGGATTGGTGCAGGGCTTCGACAAACCCTGCTGCAAAGCAGTCTCTCCATCCGTTCCAAAGGCTTGAATTTCAGAGAGGGAGGGTTTCAGCTCCACCAAGGAGGACATAAAGTAAAAGTAGTTCGAAAACTGCAGGGTTTGCAAATTTTATTGATAAGTGGAGTCACTGTGACTTCTGCTTCACAAATTTTGGAGTCATTTTGGAATATTTGGAGTCAAGTATCACAACGAAAAAAGCCATTTTCAGACTTTCCAGCACGTGGTCCTGGCATGTATACACTATCATGAGGGATAGTAGCTTTGGCGGTCCGCTGACCTGGAAAGCTTAAATCCATGATGGCGGTCATCGAGTACACTTTGATCATAATTTACCCTGTTTTGTCGTGCAGTATAATTCTTTAATTTTGATGATTTAATTAAGGTTTACAACGTTTACAATTAACGAAATTTGTATTTGTTGCGAAAAAAGGTCAGGACAAAACTGTGTTTGTTACCGAAAATTTCTGGAGTCAAAGTGGCTCCCTGTTTGTTACCGAAAATTTCTGGAGTCGAAGTGACTCCCTCCGTAACCTCTGTGGAGTCATCTGAACAATTTTGGCGTAAAATACGCCAAATTTGGCGTATTTGCGAACCCTAGAAAACTGTTTCCTTCGGTGGACCAGGATTGGACCCATGATGACGGGGTGTTTACCAGTGCGCTTATTGATAACAAGCCCGTGCTCGAAAGTCATTACCGTGACATCGAACGCTCCGAGATTAAATGTTGGATCTACTGAGACGATTTTAAAAGCTTCAGGTTTTGTCGCATTACGCTCCAACTCACGTAATTGGTAGTCGGATGCAAGGACGCACATTGTGTCGGGGGCGCCTTGGACCTTGCGAACAAACGCTGTTTCCGGAGTACGAGACTGATTAAAACACATTTCCATCACAGACAGTTCGTCCCTTAGGCCTTTCACGTTCTTTCGTCTTCGTTCATTGCTTCCTGATACGGTTCTTCTGTAATTGCTAGCCTGTTGCCGATTCCTAGGTAAACTACCAGCGCTGTCAGCCTCCATGATACCACCGTTAGCATCGTCTACAACTTCCACGGCTACTTTGGGCGTGTAACTCTGCTCCTCTTTTCTCAGGAGATCCAGTGTACTAGGCATTGTTCTCATATACCCTGTTCTTCCTTTTGAATTACCATGCGGTGCAACTTCAAAAGAATGTTCCGGCCCATCGAAATTGTACTTGAGGACGCATACCGGCAAAAGGCAACGTTTGTGATCTGGGTGAGAGAAAACGAGGTGTTTAACGGAGTGTTCAGTTAGAAGAGACTCTAACGATAAACAGACGTCACTAGTATATGAATCACTATAATCTGTTACCTTCTGTTACAATCCACATTTTTAAGTGTAGGATAGACATTGTGTATACCAGTCTACTAATCTGTTCTTGTCAAAATTAAGAAGTATGTAAATTTTTAAGTCCTGTCGCTAGAGTTCTCCACATTTCTTTATAAGACACTCGCGTGTTTAAACTGATCTCATAAAGCTAAAATTGAGCTTCGACAGAGGCGTTTTCGCAATTCCTTGTTTACTGTTTCCTTTAAGGTCAAAAATTGTCTCAATTGTTTGGTCAATGGCGCACAAGCTGGATTTCACTGGGCTCTCATGGAAAAGACGAAAAACAAAACAGAAAAGTTGGGGTCCTCGCACCCTGATTTGCGCTCAAAAGGAAAACATAGACCTTATATGAGCTTTCGCCGAATTTTACCAAGCGAGTGATTTTCAGGAGAACAACGATCTGACTCTTCAATCAATAGCAAACGACATAAAGAAGTTGCTAATATAGACTAGGCTTGTTGTTTTTTGTTGTTATTAGGCGCGCATTCTGCACTGACATGCGGTATGTGTTTACCTTAAAGTACGATATTCTTACCTTCCATCTCTACAATAAGTCGTTTGTAATCTGACGCAGTTCCGTTTGCGTGATACGTGCGACGCATAACAAACATATTACTGTCCACCATATCTTCCTTACTAGGCTTGAAATTCTTTGGGTGTTGACATATTTCTCCATTCTTATTCGCACTTTGATTAACTCTGAGGTATGTGGTAACAACTCCGTTGTGTCTCCAGGTCCCTAGATCGTCGGCACGTAAATCACGTGGGTCTTTCGAGTTCGTAAGGTTCACCAAGAAACAGCAGTTCTGTTGAGCACCTTTTGGGAATTTTTGACAAACAGCTTTTGACGTTGGATTTGTTGACAACAGAATGCGGGCAGTTTCAGTCACGGAAAATTCGCCATCGTTTATTTCAGTCATGGGAAAAGATAAATTCGCGGCAAAGTAGCTGACGATTCTTGGTAACACTTCGCAGTTCCTAACAGAAATCAAACCAGTCAGACTAATCCCGCAAAATGTTAACTTTGAATTAACAATTATCATGACTGATGTGCAATATATCTTGAAACTGCCGTAAGAACTGCCCCGAGAAAGGTCTTACGGTATCTAAACATAGGAACAATGACGTCCATGTTTCTTACTTCTTACTACTTTTAATCATATAAACAGACTCGTTATAAATGAACACATTTACAGTGCCCAAATGTCATAAGAATCAATATTACAATAAATAAGTAAATTCGGAGCTGAAGCTGGCGAGAAGTAGTATACTTGGGACCAGCTTATAAAAGCGTCAGAAGTAAAATTTAATTTCCAACAGCGGAAGAGTCAGTGTTTCTTCGATCCTGAGTATACTAAGAAGCCGTAATGACAAATGAATTGATCACCAGTGGCTTTGGACGCGAAAAAGGTGAAACTGTCCTAAATTTTTATTTGGTACCTTTTTTAAAAATTTGTCAGATATAACCTCACTTACATGTATTGGTTCACTTTTTTCTGAATGTATGTAACCTACCTCGGTTGGAATTCCAAACATCTCCTGTGAATTTCTATTTCAGGACTCTGGTCCTCTGAAAGTTCAACCTTTAACCTACAAAATAAAAGAAGAAGGATTAAAGAAAGGTTTTTAAAGCTTGCCCAAGTAGTCTTGATAAAAATATTCGAGATTTAGGCACTGCACTGGGCACTGGAGCTCCACAACAGGTATTAAACCACCAAATTCAAGTTTCGGAATGAGTCCCTTTTGCGTGCGAATTGGTGGCCGAACACAATTTGCTGATGCAATTCAGCGCGCGCCGCACAAGGATTGCAAAAAGCAAACATGCCGCTGATAAAGCGATCATTTTATTTACTCAACACCCGCAATATCTGCGCTATTTTCCTATATAATTGAACGCAGTGTATCGATGGGTTTAGTCTTTTATTACAAAGATATGTTAGAAAACGTGACGATGCAAAGAACCTAGCAATTCTCAGCTTTTTCTTTGTTAAGGCTGCAGCACAATAGCTGATTTTTTGTCGTAGATCTTTTGTCGGGGTCAAATAGGGTTAAAATTTGTCGGGCCATCAGCTTGCCGCACACTGGCCGATTTTTTGTCGCGACTAACCGCGTAATGAGGCTTGGGCCGGGTTATTGAAAATCAAGATGGCGCCTATTCCACTCACGTGACTCCCATGACATTTCCTAATTGGTTGAGCCGCGCGCGAGCGCCGACAAATTGTCTTGGTCCACCGCACACTAGCCGACAAGGCCCGACAAGACGTTTTGAGATCTAGCACTGTCAGATTCCGCCCGACAAGCCCCGATCTTGTCGCAGACTTGTCTGAATTCACCGCAAACTAGCCGACAAGTGAAGATTTTTTGGTCGGACGACAAAAAATCGGCTAATGTGTGGCGGCCTTGAAAGAACCGTTGGAAGAACCCAGTTAACTGCAGCGCATGCGTAGTAAGTCAAAAAAATTGCGATTGAATGAAAATTGCACTCTCGGAAATACTCTTAGTGATAAATATTAGTGACCGGCCTGCGCGGAATTCCTGCGTGATTTTACTGTAAATGCATGTAGCCTTCATAGCTTAGCTTTGACGAGCAGGTCCGTGAGAGATTTACCTCTTCTGTACTCTGCAAAGGGGGTCGGTTATAAAGAAAAAGGTGAATGAAACACAGGTATCACAACTGTGTTCAGCCAACTTAACAAGAGGAAATTGAATCAATCTCATTTTTCATTTAAAAGCGATAACTAAGTTACACCCGTTACATAATCGGTGGAATATATTGCGAGTAATAAAAAGTCTTTGTCCTTGAACGTGTACTGTTTGTGTACTTCATAAAACGGCAACAACAAATATTAAAAAAATATGCTTTTTGGAATGCGTATCTGTATTCGGCGATGCTGAAGAAAGAAAGACAAGCAGAAAGAGAGAAAATATTTTCGAGCCTGGGATTGGTTTTCAGTAAAGTTGAAATTGAGAACGCTACATTGAGTTGGGTTGTTCACGAGTTTAAGTCAGCTAACCAAAAACTGTAATATGGTAAGCAAAGCGGTCAGAAATTAGTGCAAAGAGCCTTTTAAATTTTGCAGAGCGTATGAATCGCAAATTATATCATACTAAGTAGCAAATTGTATTCGCCAAATATTAAGGACGTAGCTGGGCTAGAAGGCGCTCCGGTTAATTTTTAGTTTCCCTTACATTTGTCTACAATTTTGTTTTCCCGCGAACCGCATCTACCCAGCCATATTTACAAACAAATGAATGAAACTTGATAAGAAAAGTCAACTGAGTGTCTTCTAGCCAGGCTACATCCCTCAAACTTGGTGAACACAAACTTCTAACTTGTACCTTAACCTTGCGATTCACAAATTCTGCAAAATTTAGCTTTTGAAAAAGTTGTTTGTTATCAATATCGGTTTCCCATACAAGAACTGTGATTTCTGACCGCTTTGCGTAGGTACCCGGTAAGATGGCATCGGAAACCGTGATAAGGCCTATTGCACGTTCGGTATTCATGTAAGCTCTTTGACAGTAGTAATAATTGCAATAGTGCATTCATTGTCCCTTGGTTCAAAAAAGGAATAGCTGAGTCGCGATACAAAACTATATGCGATTTTGACACGGCTTCACGACTCCGCCCACTACGTACAGAATAAACTTATGCCGTGTTATTTTTTTCCCAGTCAGCCGTCTAAAAATCGCAATTAGTTTATAATATGCACACACACCTTGACCGAGTTCAACCGGCCTCGTCTGATATGTAAACATACGGCAGTTTTACCATTATTTAATGAAAACCAACTACCTTGGCCGGTTAAAACAATTCCTTAGTGACTTCGTTTAGCACGGGTTGTTTCTTTAATGGAGCCCGCTATGCCTCCACGAAAAGTGAACCTGCGCTTACCTTTTCTTTTCCGGACTTCTTTCCGGCGAGGAAAGGATTTCGATTACTTCGTTATGACCGTTCCCCTCAGTTTTTACAGCACTGTTGAAATAAAACAAAACCGCGTAAATTTGTGGGCAGATATCAGCTTTTGCTTACGCAACTCAGTAAACAGTCAAATTTCTGTTTGTACGAAGGAAATGTTACCTGGCAAAAGGACACGTTTCCTCGGTTCTCATAAAAACCGGCTGATATAGCTCTTCACTATTGTCATCTCCAGACTGTGATTCATCTTCTATGGTGATCGTCTCGGCTTTCCCTTCATTCATGGTCGTATTTGAAAAAACTGTCCACGCTCTCTCGCTGACTTTCACAGCGCACGTGGTTTCGAGTCGTAAAACAATACTTTGTACTTTGGTCTTTGGCATTCCGTTAGTCACGTGCCGACCTGTTCAAGTATTAGGCTGATTTAACAAGAGGACGGGAACCAAATAAACAATAAAAATAATACAAATCAAATTAAAATAATTAAAACGAAATAAAATAATAAAAATTGTAGCTTTCAGACTATTTTTAAGGTGGAAGCTACCTATATTTAGTATATTTATTTCATTTTAATTATTTTTATTTGATTTGTATTATTTTTTGTTATTTGTTCTTTTTTAATTTTATCATTTGCGCTTTTTTCAAGGTTCCGGGTAGGTTCCGGGGGGTTCGGGGGGGGTTCCGGTTGGTTCCGGGCGGTTCCGGGTAGGTTCCGCCATTTACATACACCCAGTTTAGAGGGTAGAAACTTCAAATTAAGAAATAAAAATTTTATCTAAGAGTGGTGTCTTCAACTACCTTTTCAAGGTTACATGCTTTCGCTACCAAGAAGGTAAAAAACTGATGGCGACTGAATAATCCCGCATAGTCAGTTTTGGTCCGGTAATTTCTCTTCGATGAATATTAACGCAGTCATCAGTGACATGAAATGAAAGGA